GGGGGGGGGATATGCACCAAAAGTGACACATCCAGTTAATTTCGTCTTTCTGTGGTGTTGCAATAAAATGTACAGAAACCTGTGTTTCCTGTGCTGTATGTGAGAGAAATCTGTGTGGGCTACGTTGCAACGTGAAGCCGCTCTGATTAATGTGTGCTACTTCACTTCTGGCAGCTACATCAGGCAAATCCTCAGAGATACTTCCTCCAACACTAATTCAGCACCTCTGTTCAAAGCTCGCAGCGTGTTTTATTAGCACCTGGATGAGTATTGTTGAAGCTGTTACAAAGGCAGAAGATAAAAACAAATAAACCTGCCCTTTTCCTTGTAAGCTGTGAAAATAGTATGAGGTAATAGGAGGTTGCAAAATTGTACATATGTGTACACATATAGCTTGTAAAGTATGAGTAAAGTACGAGCAGAGAAATGTTATTACCAAAATGAAAGTGTTCATAGTTCTGCAGAAGCATGCCATCAGTGAGTGCGCAGGGTGTTTTTTGGGATTGGGGTGTTTACTTTATTTCCCAACCTAGGGGAAAAGCTTTGAATCACAACATAAATATGGGGGAAAACTTTGAGGCAAAGGAAGCAACTCGCTTTCTCTCTGATTTCTTTCGTATCATAGGCTCTATACACTATAGCCTATTTATGTTTCTTAGTGTTGATTTTTTTTTCACTTAAATAACATTCGGAGTTTACACAAAGTCTTCAGCAACTGGAAAAAACCCATTTATCTAGCATATTCTTTGGGCAGGCTAATCAATGTGAGCCTTTCTTTGAGAGGAAGGTTCTCTGATCAAATAGTTGTGCAAACTGTTTATTCAGACGAGCTAATAATAATAATAGTTTATCTCCATATATGCTTTCTCTCTATGTGCCTAGTTTTTGTGCGTAATTTATTCTGGAGCATGCATTCATTTTTACTCTATTTTCTCTACTTGGGTATCTATTTTGGCGATGAGGCAGTTTAGCTTAATTCCAGTAAACAGCATGAAAGTGAAGGACTGCATAGTTAGTTTATAGCATTTGCTATTGCTCTGTGATTCTGAAAAACAGTAATATTAAAATGGCAACAGCTCTGATGTGCGTTTACCTGACACTTTACCTCTTACTGTGAAAGATTTAATGCCTGTAATGACTTTAATTTTATTTTTTATTTCTATACATAATAGGCCTTTTGGGAGATTTTCCTCCATCCCCAAGATTTTTATGGAGCTTCAAAATGTATGAGCCTTATAATGAAGTTGAAGCAGTCTATTAAGCATGTGTTTGTGTACTCGCCATGGTAGTTCAATGACCTTGAACTTGAGAAGTTTCTTTGATGGGAGGTGGAAATGTCTTCAAAAAACTGAAGTCCAGCAGCTTTCTTTTCAAGCTGCTTAGCCTTACAGAATTAAGGCTGCTAAATGTCTTATAAGCACATTTAGCCTTACAGAATTACTTGTAGGTGGCACTTATAATCTTTAATCGCATATGACTACCCTGCAGTGGGTTTTATATGATTTTTTTGTACTTTAACTACGTTAATGCCACATTTCTCTTTTTCCCCCAAAGTCACAGGAAGCCACTGGTCATCTACTAGACTTAACTTTTCTAAGTTAAAGACTAACTTAGGAAAGAAACACAAACAAATGAAGTAAAAATACTTTCAAGTTTTTTTTATGTTTTTACTTACCGCGAATAACAGATCAGCACACTCATTAAACCATTCTTTATTTTGCTTTTAAAATTTTTGGCCTGTGGATCACTCTGGCGGGCTTTTGCTACTCTGTGTATTACGGTAGAAGAATGTGCGTGTGCGCCCTGGTGTGAGCGCCGGTTATTACGGTAGCGCGGTTGACGATTGTTTGCTGCTCCGGGGTCTGTGAAAGCGCCGAGCGCTGCGATGAACCTCCACAAAGCCCGCTCTGCTCTCCCGCTGTAACCGCAGCTAACGTCTCCCTCTGAGGCAAACTTTGGATACCGCTCCGCTTCCAGCTGTAAGTTACACACACGTCCTCGTGTTTTGGGCACATTTCCCGTTTTTCCTCTTCCTTTTTAACGAACTACAGTTTTACTTTAAGATGCTTCACGCTTTGTTTTCGTCTCGGAGAGTTAATTGTTAACTGTCAGATAAAATAGAAGTCATTACGCGCTGCATGACTCGGAAAGCTTTTTTTTCCTTCCTGAAAGAGTTTTTTTTTTTTTTTTTTTTTTTTAAATTTTGTTCGCACCCGTTAGTTTTTTTTCCCCTGTTGTATGAGTCGTTTATTTCAATTTTCTTAAAAGCTTTAATAGTATGCTACCACAGCCGGGGGACAATGAAGTTGAAAGTGGTGAACAGTTCTGTCAAACCCCACCTCTTTAAGTTTAACGCTATTCCTAGCGTAGCGTTGAAGCTATAGGGATAAAAGGCTGTGTTAGTATTTAATTTTTAGCTATACATTAGCTTCCTAACTATCTGTGTGAACGTCTGAGCCGCTGCACCCCACCCAGTACATGTTTGGGAGCAGCTAATAATTGTTTGGTTATCCGGCTTAAAAGCATTTTACTGTCGTTATTCAACACGACACAGTCTATACTGTATTTCTTTTGGCTTGGTTTTAAATAGCAGTCTTCCAAGTTTATGGATTTCGTTATACATTTATTATTATTTTTAAACAAGTTAAGGCATTGGCTTAATGACAGAGGTGGAAACTCATTTTAACTAGAGTGGTTGGGCATTGAAAGCCACAACAAACGAATATCTTCCTATACTGGCAGATTAGAATGACATCTAAATGTGTTTTCTTGAGAAATGCCTCAGAAGCAGCTGTGTTTATTATAAAGAGAAGAGAGGACACATGCATGCATGCCTCAGTGTGCTGCAGTGTTTGTAATATAAAAATGAAAGGAATTTCTGCAAGTGTACACTGTCCACATTTATGCTTTCTTTTGAAATTGTAATTAAGATGAATTAAGATGAAGCATGGCTACTGATTTGACGTGTGTTTAAAGAGCTGCCCCTCATTGTAGGAAATTAAAAATCCCTCAGTGTGTGGGAGCCTGCTTAACGCCTGCGGGTCACGTTAGTGATTGGTGTGTCAAGACTTGTCCCAAGCAGAGTTCAGCAATCCCTCAGTAGATGCTGAATAAACAGTCATGCTGTGAGTGTTTAGTTGTCTGAGGGGAAAGTCTCGCTTCTTTTTCTCCTGAGAGTTGCTGATTGAAATCTAAACTAAAAGTGCGTTTTCCACTTTCTGCCTGCTGAATTTGCTGAACATGTTGAACTGGAAGGGTAGATGGTGAAGAGTTGTGTGGGGGGGGGGGGGGGTTTTTTTTTTTTTCCCCTTCCCCTCCCTCAGTGATACCTACTCGGGTCATGCGTGCTTATTGACACGCCCTTGTTTGCAAGGCAACAAGCGATTGAACACCTAACTCATGATGCTGGTATGAGTCAAACAAAAAGCAGCATGATGAAAGCGCCTCAGAAGCTTTTGCAAAAAATCTAATATTTCAAAATGTCACACGAGGAGACAAATTGAGGGCTTTTTCCTCTCAGCTTGAAAGCCTTTAAATTGCATCCACTGGATTGCTGTTCTCATGAATGGAGCTCCCGGCCCCCCCCCCCCATCCCTTTTTGCATGCATTTGAGTCGCACTGTTTTCCCCCTAATCATCTTGCACTTGGACATCTCATCCAGGCTCTCTGTGTGGGCAGTGGTTTCTTATTGGTCAAGGAAATGGGAAATGGGAAACTGCGCTTCGATCTTTATTCTTAGTGGTCATGGCGACAAAGTTCCCAGCTTTGTGAAATTTAAAAAAACAAACAAAAAACCCCCAACAAAAACCTGATGTTGAGTGGGCAGCACTGGATGCCTTTTTGTGATACTGTGGCTGTATTGATGTAGACATGTTTTCCAGCTGAGGTACTTGCTCAGAATTAGCCAATCTTTTAAGCTAAGTGAGGATAATCTAACCATCAGGTATTTTTATTGTTAACATAGTAGCACTCTGAATGAAGTAGTGGCTCTAGTAAAGAGGTCAGATGTGGCTCGATGTTGACCTTTTGGGCAATTTGCCTTTCCTGTGAACGCTTCTGCCTGCAGGATACCGTCACCTTAGCTAACCCTCAAAGACTGTTTTGGCTTTTGTTGCAAGCCCTTCTCACTAATGGCTCTCATGCAGAACAATATCACGGTTCACCGTGTCACACAGAAGTAGCACACACTGTCATGCAACTGTGCTTATTATCTGTCTGACCAATGAAATCCTGAGAGGGGTGCCTGCAGTGCAGAACTGCAGGTTTTGATTGTGTCCCTGTGCACTCCACCAGGCTGGATAGGGAGTTGGGCTGGTCTCAGTGGAGTTGGGCTGCGAGGCCAACATCATCCTGTGAGAGTTAAGCAGAAGCATATGTAGATGTGTTTATGTGTCTGTGTAGTCTTATATCAGAGCGCACTGAGACAAGCAGCAGCACAGAGTACAGCTCTGGGCAGTCCCACAGGCACATAAACATTCTTGTTTTACTGTCTGATGGGTTAGGAAAGCACATGGTAACATTTTTTTGTATTAACCTCTCAGTGATTTTAAAAATATTTCAGTTCACAACACTGTGCACCAGCATGGACCCAAACTAGCTATTCCATTTTTAACACAGAGAACATTTGTTTCTATTGCATTATCCTTTAAAAATGAAAATGCAGCACACGTTGTTGCTGTAGGGGAAAAAATCAGAGTTTTGCCTTAAGCCTTGTTTTTAAGTGTTATGTAAATGGTTAGAGTAAGAATTTTGTTCAAACCACATCCCTGAATGAGGGCATCTTCTACTGTGCTCCTTTCATAATCGTCTCTTTAGATGTAGGCAACAAATATGATTTACTTGAGCGAAACTGTGGTAAGCTATATTTAGTTTAATCTTTTTCTACTGACTTCTGGTCTGTCTCCAGGGCTTACTGTGCACCAGCAATATTGTCATGCCAGTGAAGATGGCTTTCTTCCTGGTGTCTTTGCTTTTAATTTCCTTCTGTCTGTTGTGACTCTGGGTTAGCAGACTCAGCAGATGAGTCCCTGTTTATTCCTAGTGGACAAGATTAGAGAAGCTAAGACTCCATGTTGCTTTTTAGATTTTGTCGTTTTATGGAGGTTGTAGACTTATTGATCTAGGAAATGCAGAAAAGTGGTTCTGTGGTTGAATGTTGGCAAAAGACTGGACAATTTTAGTGAATATTTGGCAAGGCCTTTCATTTTGAGAATTCCACACAGACTCTACAAAATCTCATCCTGGGTCCATTTCCTCGATGAGCACTGTAATTCCTTCTGCAATATTACTGTAATCTTTTGTCAGACTCACTTACATCCTTATGCTCAAGGTGTGACCACAGCTAATAGTATTTATAATCAGGAAGTAGAGTAAAGCCTCTTACACACAGGCTACGTTTTTTTTTTCTTTTTTTTCTGAAACTGCGATGCCATTCATTATCAGTTTAATTGTCCACAACTCCTGTCTCATTTTTGCTGCTAACCTGCTCTCCTCTGCCCTTTGGTATGCCTACGGAGTGGCTTACTGGACAGTTTGATTCAAACACCTCCAGTTATCCTTTAGGCGTTTTAAGAGAGGATCTCATCTATCTATTATCTTGGACTGCAGCTGGTGGTGGTAGTCCTTGTTCTGCTCGGAGCTCCACAGGGAGCTAGGAGGCCACTCTAATCAGAACTGGCAGCAGGTGGAGAGCTGGTTCGTGTGCTGCTATGCCAAGCTTAGCAAGACTGCTGAGCAGAACAAAGACTGCCATCGGCAACTGCAGTCAGAGACGGTGAAGATTGAATTAATCAGCAAGATTAGAGGCTTACAGAAGAGACCCTTGATTATATTGCTCTGTTTTTGTTTTTTTGTTTTTTTAAAAGCTTTAAGCCTGTTTGATTACAGCAAAAATCATAAACACAACTATTGTGGTCAGTCATCTTGATTATTCATAAACTTAAAAGTTTTGCACTATATATATGGGTAGGGATGGGTATCGTTTAGGTTTTATCCGATACCGGTACTTTTGAAACGGTGCCGGTGCTCAAACCGGTGCTCAAACCGGTGCTTAAAGAATGGAGAACACAAAATTGGTCCAAAAACCTCTCATGTTCAGCTGTTTTTTTGTAAAAAGATAACAATGTTAGCCTTTTCTGCAGCTATGGGGCATATATGGTATCACTCTTGGCTGGAAGCAGTGCTTAAACAATGGAAAAAACACAAACTTTGTCCAAAAACCTCTCATGTTTAACTGTTTTCCACTCTTTCTTTGGTCATTTTAGCCTTTTTGGCCAGGGTGATGGGAGTATCTGCCATCAAACAAGAAGACAGCCACATGTAACTATGATGACGTTTGCTAGTTCACCTTACATGCATTAATTTAATAACGTGGTTAGCCTACTCAACGTAAATTACACACGGACAACATTAAGCTACTCACGCAGAGAAGAACGGCCGCTGCTGCCATCAAATACGGCGCATTTCTGCTACACTGGCAGGGCTAGGGGCCAGGACTCTCCTTTTCGGGTTTTTGGGGATGTTGCAAACTCCGGGTCCGATAACAGGCACCACACCCGCAGTAGATGTGCTCCGTGTGAGGTCTCGCAGCAAGCTATCAAATACGGCACATTTCTCGGCTTTTAAAAAACCCCCGCTATGCGTCGCCAGGTGTCTCATCAGATTTGAGGTGTTACCTCCTTTGACAGTATCACAGTATCAGCTTAAAGCACTTGTTGCAGGCTGCTGAGTTTGCATCTTTTGCTGTGAAGTACAGCCAGACTTTTGACCACTTTGCCCTGGGCGTTTTTAATCTGTAGCTCTGCTCTAACAGAACGTACGTACCGGGACCCGCCTACTGTCCTTGGAAATGTAAAATGATTGGCTAGAATCTAAAGTGTATCACAGCTCAGGGAAAAAAAGCACCGAAATGTGCGCTGCTTTTCGGTCTGGTTACTACTGTTTATGTCAGAACCGGTGCCACCGGTACCCATCCCTATAT